CGGCTTTCTGTAGTACCCAGAGGGCTTCGAGTAGTTAGTTCTACATAGAGGCAGCGAATTGGATGAAAAGGCGCCACGAGGTGGCGCTGTTCGCGCTTCGCGCGTATATCCGGGCTGCAGATCGTCTAGAATTTTAGAAATGTAATTCAAATCCTTCGCGAGATATTAGAGTTAGTACACTATCCTACAGGCCATAGCCGCGCGTATATATTAGCCTATGAGCGATACCGTGCGTATATTTTTGATAATTAAGTAAACCATTCGTGCTTTAATAAACTCAAAATTCACAGAGACCATAGCTAAGACATGTGTTTATATGTATCTAGAATTTTAGAAAATGTAACTCAAATCGTTCGTGAGATATTAGAGTTAGTACACTATCCTACGGGCCATAGCCGCGTGTATATATTATCCTATGACGATACCGTGCGTATATTTTTGGTCATTAATTAAACTATTCGTGATTCAATAAACTCAAAATTCACGTAGATTATAGCTAAGACATGTGTTTATATAAATGTATCTAGATTTCTAGAAATGTAGCTCAATTCGTTCGTGAGATATGAGAGTTAATACACTTTCATGCCGCCTATAGCGCAATAGCGTATGCGCGGGGGTGGGGGGTTAACAGCTGTATACAATGCGCCAGTACAGGCGGGCGCGGTTCGAACATTTAATCATCTGTAATTCACTTCTAAGGAATATCTACATTGGGCAGCCGCACCCCTCTAATATTTATAGCACTGCCATAGCCGATGATAGGCTAGAACTCTGCCAAGTTTGATGCTTTTGTCAGCTTTTAACAACGAAGATGATGACGTTACCCGGTTCAAAGTAGATTAGTTGTAGCGATGAATAATGAAAACTCCAAAGTCCAAGCAGTTGTGTTCAGCAAATAGTATTATTGTTTCTCAACCCACATGCGCGCGCACAGAGGCACGCAGCCGCGTGCCTCGCACACTCACGTCCGACCCCTCACAACCAAGAACCTTTTCTTTTTATACATTTCTAGCTGACAAAGAAAGTCGCGCGCGCCCGGACAACCACACCCGCTGCCCACATGCACAACAACTCCCTCTCAACCGTTTCGCATCTCCATCATCCATACTACATCAAACACGCTACCCCTGACCAACCCATTATGCAACCACAGTCACTACATTTCCAACTACTATTTGTAACATCTGCAAACCATACATTACAAGCTCTATAATGATCATGAAGCTAAGGGACCTGACTACTAGTACTAGTAGAGCTAGCAACGCATGCACATGATATGGATGGATGGATCACAGGCACTTGAAACGTCTCAATAAAAAAAAGAAGTAAATAAATACGAAATGTATTTACTACCAAAGTCTCAATGTTTCTCTACTCTATTTCGCCTATAATCACCTGTAAATGCCAGTCAAATGCTCATCTGCAACACACCAAGTACACCGCACGCTAGCTGCTGCACACTGACGCATAAATATATAGCAGGTAGGAAAGCGTGCTGCCAAAATTCGCTCGACGCTCGCTTGATTTCACACGAATACAACACAAACATTCAACCATTGAATTCTACTCCATCTTTGTTTCTATTTGAAGGGCAGTGTTCACTTGTTATAAAAACATACTGTCTGTCAACCCTTGCCTTAAGCCCTAGGAGGGGCAAGGCAGTTTTTAAAGGGCACATGAGAAATTGCCTTGGATTTTGCAACAAAGTAAAGAGCACCTAGGCAATTCTCTGATTTTTTAAGGGCACCTAAGCAATTTTCAAAATTTGAGAAGGGCACCAAGGAAATTCTCAAAATCTGCAAAAAAGTACACTTTACATACTCAAAATATGCGAAAAAGTACACTTACATGATACTACATTTATCTGTGCATGGGATTATTTATTATTGATTGATCATTCATGTGTTATAACTCAGCAAGGCCTAGACTTGTCATTTCTGGTAAAGTCTTGCATCAGAAGAGGAAGGGCCGCCATATCTGGCCCAAATTTGGGTTCGGCAGAGACCCTAGAACAGATTAGTGTTCTATTGTCTCTGGGTTCGGTCTGCACAACCGTTTCAGCTGATTATGGTCCATAGATGGCGCCCTTGAGGCGAAAAGCACACAGCCAATCCGCTTCCTCTCCTTGTTATATTTAGCTCCTTGGATCTCGTAAGTCGTATGCGGCGTGCGCCGAGTTGTGTTGTCGAGTTGTATTTTTATTGCCACGCAAAACACTGTGAGTGTGAGATTCTGCCTAAATTCTTTAAACGTTGCATTTGGTATGGACTCTCAGGAAATTATATAAACTTCTTGTTAGTTTAGGAACTTTAGCTAGGGAAGGGCACCGACAGCGGTTCCATAAAAAGGCACGGCAGTGGACTGCCGTTAGTGATGTGGGATTTTCAGGGGCAGCACGGCATGTGAGTAGAGGGCCCCGACGGCAGTCGCCATCGATCCCGTCGGTTACGGCGAGGGTTGCTGTCTGTGTTCGTAACCGAGCTGTGTCACGCGAAATCACACAAAGTCTGACAAAATTCTTGCGTTCGCTCCCGTTGTGCAGTTTATGTAAATAACTGCAAGTACAGGGTTATAGGCGGCGCACTGCATTTTGGAAAACTACCACGTAAGCTGCTTTCCAACTCCCGTACAAGTCTCGTCAAAGCTGCCAGTGGAGCGTTGCAATAATGCGGCGCAAAAACAAGGTTACGAAGAGCGCCGGTAGGCTTTTCCTGATTCCGACAGCCATTTACATAAACTGCGCAACAGGAGCGAACGCGCGAATTTCGTCAGGCTTTGTGTAATTTCGCGTGACACAGCTCGGTTACGAACACAGACAGTATGTTTTTATAACAAGTGAACACTGCCCTTCAAATAGAAACAAAGATGGAGTAGAATGGTTGAATGTTTGTATTCATGTGAAATCAAGCGAGCGTCGAGTGAATTTTGGCAGCACGCTTTCCTACCTGCTATATATTTATGTGTCAGTGTGCAGCAGCTAGCGTGCGGTGTACTTGTGTGTTGCAGATGAGCATTTAACTGGCATTTCCAGGTGATTATAGGCGAAATAGAGTAGAGAAACATTAAGACTTTGGTAATAAATACATTTCGTGTTTATTTACCATTATTTTTTTTATTGAGACGTTCAAAGTGCCTGTGGGATGGATGGTCATGCAGCTGCAACTTCTTGTTTATACACCGATTGACAGTTCCGCGCCAGTGTTCTGCGCCAGCAGTTTCGCATCTCCGCGAGAGCCCGGATGTGCGAGTAAACTCCGCCATGTTGTTTATCTCGATGCGTTATCTGCCTTGCATACGCAGGTCGCTCACCTTTGTGTCGAAGAACAGTGCATGTAGCAGGGAATAGAGCATCGATAATGGATGACCTGAGTGCAGGCCTCGAATTAAGTGACGAGAGGGGCAAGGCAATTTTTTGAGGGCATGTGAGAAATTGCCTTGAATTTTCTCTAAAATGGATGGGCACCGAGGCAATTTTAAAAGGCATCAAGGCAACTCTCACAATTTGAGAAGGGCACCAAGGCACTTTTGTAAAATAAAGGGAAACTCATAACAAATTAATACATCAACCTCTGCTAATGGAAGTACAGTAACAGGGTTCAACGTTAACTTTTTATTTCACTAGACCATCGGGCTAGTAACTGAGAAAAACCACTAGCCCTGACCCAGACCATTGTTATGAAAAACTTTGTGTCATCGTATGAATTCTACTAAAATTTCTCTAAATTTACTGCACTTAGCAAGCTACACACCGTACAGATCACAGCTGGCCATTCTTGCGCGAGCGTCGGATCCCGCGCTTTAAATCGCGCGCGGGCCGAGTCCACGTGCAGCATTTAAATATTCGTATTCTACCACGGGCATACACAGGCGCACGATTTATCGATCGTCTACTGGCAGCGGTTGGCAGCAAGCCACGTTTACGGTTATTGTTTTTGCCGGAGGGTAGACTGGAATCCGGCCTCACGCTCTGCTAGACAATGTACACGCTTTGCGACAAACAGTGCGACCGCGAACCAGTCTAGCCAGAGGCACCGACGGCAATTACAGAAAAGGGCAAGGCAGGTGACAGCCGTCGGTCGGGTTGGATTTTCAGGGGCAGTACGGCGATTGATAGGGGCACCGCCGGCAATTGCCGTCGGTGCCGTCGGTTAATTCGAGCCCTGCCTGAGTGACATGACACTTGATACATTTAAATTATGGTCAATGCATGCTCTAAAAGTCTTTCTTAAGCCAATACGATCCGTTTGAGCAGCCCTTCACACTACACGTAAACGCCATTGTGATTGTTCGCGCATTTTACTCGCAATTCTGGGACGGAAAATTCCTCCCGATCTTTGACCTTAGGCTTAGCGCATGCGCTGTGTTAAACTGTCAACCGGTGTATTTACATCCGATGTCGATGATGAACTCGATCCGTGACACCCGTTCCAGAGCATCCCACATTCAACAAACATCACTGTCATCAGTTCCAGAGACCACCATTTTCAAGTCTGAAATAGTTCCAACTTCCACAGCTCCCATTTTTTACTTCGCAGTGGCACCCCATGACAATGTGCCATTATGTGAATTTTGGGGTAAGTCACTACTAAGTGCCCCCCCCGGGGGGGGGGGTTGTCAACCACCGACGCCGTGCCTTGTGAAAGACGAGACGGAACCAAGATACTATTACTAGTTATAACTTACAACTTGACAAAGTTTTAGATTGAATATGGTTACTTACAGAAAGTTCTTCAGTTTTATCCTCGCTATAGACCCCTTATCCCCATTCTTATTACTCGCATTTTTACTCTTTGGCATGTTTACTCTGGTTTACTCCTGGTTTACTCGTGTTCGCGGCTATTTCCAGGAGCTTCTAAACACCGAAATCACTCGAAATGTAGACTGGTCCATGTTCGACGGTTTTAATCGCGTTACACTGACGTCAGTGTAACGCGAGTGTGGTGGAGCCCGTCTACTCGAAATGCCCATAATAAACACTCGAAATGGCAAGAAATGACTCGAAATGACTCGCAATGTTTCGAAATGACTAAAATTGCACTTCGGCCTTCTCTATAAATATACTTGCCTTTCGAAATGACTTGAAATTAAACTGATTAACTCTTGAAGATTCAAAATTACTTGATATGCTTCTAAATGACTCAAAATGGACGTAATTAACTCTCGAAAAGATTTGTTATGTTTTCAATCTCAAGGTGTCTAGGCCTAGTCGTACCAAATTTCTTCTTGTGATAGCGGAGACCTGTGTTCGCGCTTGTGAGAAGGGACGGTGACCAGTCTACCCGCGAGTAAAGTTTTCTCGCTCTTATCGCGAGATCACGTTTACCGAGAAATAATAACAAATGTACGTGCAGTACATGTGTATGCTATTTGGATCTGGATCACTTCAACCAAGTTCAAGTTAATTTTCCCGTTGTATTTCAAAATGAATGTGGTCGTCGCTGTAAAGCAATATGTGTCCAGGATGATTGAGGAAAGCGGACCAGGAATGAAAGTTTTACTCATGGACAAAGAAACGGTAACTTGAAGAAACGAACATGAGCGGTTTTACTCACGCTGATACGTAGGCCCTAGGCCCTACTGATGCCGGATGGCCGCCGTCACATCATACTCATACTCATAGTGATACTGATAGTGATAGTGATACTGTCTGATACCGATAGTGATACTTAGCCGCGCATTTAATATTTAACTGAATATGTCTAGTCACGATAACGAATGGTCATAACGCCCAATTTACATTGGAGCTTATGCACCTTTTAGAAGTTTGCGAGGTTTCTCCGGGCGAACGTTTATGCATTTTGCAGATGATCACCGGATCAAGGATACTTTGGGACCCCGCAAAATATGTTTTCGCATATAATTATGTGCTAAACTAATCAGTGGTGCTAAACTAGGCTTGGGCCCGCATATCTGCTAAACTAATCCAGAGAGACCGGGTACAAGATGGCGTTGCGCAAAAGATGCGTTATTCCCCGACCGCCGAGAGCGGTTAAGCCGCGCACTTCTGCGGAACTGGGCGCACGCGACCGCGGTTGTTGTATGTAGCATCTCGCGCTGCCTGCTATACGAATTCGCGCGCCGAAGGAGGGCGGGCGCGCGAATCCGTATAGCGGGAAGCGTAACATCGCGCAGTTTTTGTGAGAGGTACACCGGCTTCACTACGGCGACTTTGGGGGGAGGGCATTTCCTGCTGCTGCTGCTTTGCTGCTCCAGAGCCGCGCTGCAGCAGCTAGCAGGGACCAGTATTTGGTGCTGCTGCTGGTTTGCCATGCCAGCCACGCCGGCCACGCCAGCGCAGGTGCTCGCACGACGTGCCGTCGCCACGGGCAGCGCGGGGTCAGGAGGTTGGTCGAACAGCATTTCTTGAGGTTTCTTGTAGGAGTCACTACGTCTTAGCCATGAGGCGCGCCACCCCCAAAAAAGTTTAGGGGCCGTTTGGAGATGGCCTCCTGCCGTCCATCACGAAATGTCAGTTGGATTGCGCCCAGTTTTCGCGGAGTTCGTTTTCAGACCCCTGTCTAAGGTATCTGTCTAAGTGGACAAAAAGGGGGCGGCGTATTCGCTGTTGGGGCGCGGCTAAAACCGCGGCCGCAAGTCCGTCCAGGGTGCTAAACTAGGAGTTTACCGACAAATTTAATAGCAAAAGAAGTACTACTTTAATTAGGTTTCTAAGTAATCATGTGGTCTCTCCTAACACAAACACAACTCTGAGTGCTAGTTAACATAGACAAACACATTTATGGTAATAGTTGATCATTTCCAAAGGGCAGTGGTCATCATTGACAAATTCTGTGTAGGTGAATTTTCATAATCTGTGCTTTCGTGCCGCAAAGGTAATACTATACATTTATTTATTTTAAATGTAACGTGTACACCACGCGACCTGGTAGCGTACTAAAGTAAGATGTGCCACATTCTATTGCAACAACACAAGTGACAAGACAGACAGCTTATTGAACCCTAAAAAGACCCAAAGCGAAAAAGTTCTTATCTTACCATGAAAGCTACTAAGGTTTCAGATACAGACTATCCATGTTTGCTACATGCCTCCACGATTTCTCTTATAATGGTTTTAATCACACTGTCTGCTTGAGATTGCTGAGACATCTTCAAGTTTAATTGCAACTTCTACCTCAGTGTGAATGTGCCTTGGCTTTAGTTTAGTTTTATTTGAGCTTTTGTGAGTAGACTAAAAATAAGCGACAACACGTTACACGTGACAAGGTTACAAAATACTATTTTGCAATTAACTACACAGCTAGGTGATCAATTAGATGTGAGCACATAAAGTCTGAACCTAATCGCGAATTAGCCTGAAGCTCATCAACAGAAACATGCAAACTATCAATAAATTGCTCCCATGTTTGAATGCCATTGGCATTGCATGGAGATAAAAACCAAAATCAAAACAGGATAGTAGATACAGAGTGCGAAATTAACGTGAGTCCGTGAATAACGTGAGTCAAATACGCCCTGATTTTCTGTCGGACTCCCTGATTTGACATATATACGGGAGTCTGTGTGACTCCCTGAAAATTCTGCTATACTAACTAGTTCGTCCCAGAACACGCCCTCGCGGAATTGCCGTATTTTTTTTTAGCAAATGTCCAAAGATATTTTGGCAGACAAGCAACCGCATGAATCTTTAAAATAAGCACACGCATTATTGTTAATATCTTTAGTTTTGAACTTCAGACTGCGGACTCCCTCATTTTGCTGCGGACTCCCTCTTTTTGAGGGCAGAGAGTCCGCTAGACTCCCATGTTCAAAAGTCAATTTATAACCATGTAGATAGATATACACCCATTATTTTACAAAGCCAGCTGCCCAATAAAGTTGGAATAAAACACTGGACTGAAGTCTAGAAACAATATTATACTAGTTAGTCTTGAACGTGGATTCGCAGTATTTAGTGCATCTATATATTTTAATGACTGAAACAATGGCATAGTGCTGCCAAAATTCTTTCATAAAAATGATGGTAGATGGCGCTTTTGAAGGAGGCATTTTAGAGATTACGGATAATACTTTAAAAATAACAATTAATAATAATGGAAAACAATACCTACATAGTACAATACATTACAGTACATTATGGATTATATGATTTGAAGGAATCTTACTCTTAGCCAAACTGTTGAGAAATTTTACATAGGCCCATGAATAATTATGTGTAGAGATGTTAAGCCACGACAAACAGACCGTGCACCCACACGTATATCAGTTACAAGTAAACGAGAAGCCAAATTACGGCCCACAATCTGGTTGGACAAGGAATTTTGGTGCACACGGACTCTTTGGTGTCTAATAATTTTTTGGTCTACAAACTGTTTGTGGTGGCTAAGAATTTTTTGCATCCACAAACTGTTTGTGGTGGCTAAGAAATTTTTGGGTCCACAAACTGTTTGTGGTGGCTAAGAATTTTTTGCATCCACAAACTGTTTGTGGTGGCTAAGAAATTTTTTGGTCCACATTCTATTTGTGGTGGCTAAGAAATTTCAAGAAATTCATTATCTATCACCAAAGATTAATCATGCAAACAGACCAGTTATAACAGTTATGTAACAGCATAAGTATTGCCATTGCAAAACATGAGAACTTGCCGTTCATACTGCACAGAACCCAGAAATCTGTGCGCACAGCATTACTAGGATGATATATCGTCGACGTGTCGTGGGATTGCATGTCAGGCCTAGATGGTGCCTGGCCAAGAGAGGGCTCTTGGGTCGGGTAGGGTTGGAGGCGAGTAAACACAGAATAGTAGACATGTGAAAGAAAAGGAGGTGGGGTGGAAGTACACTATAGTTTCCATATAGTGAAAAGAATTAAGGAATTAAACAATAAAGAATTAAAGGCATACTAGGCCCATTGATTATGCAATGTTGACGAATGCTAAAGTAACTGGCACCTTGTGTAGTTAATAAGTACATAACCTTATAGCCAAACGCGTATTAGTTTGTCCAATATCACTGCTGGTTACATTACAAACAAGACGAAACCGGTTGTTGATATGTATCAACGTATCATTTACGTGCCGTAAATGTCATTCAGGAGTCAAGCGATGACGTAAACATTTGTGCGGCCTGTATGTTTTGGACGCCAGATGAAATGGAGGTGTCAGCGGTGTAACCACGGCCACGGACTAAACATGGAAATGGAGTAAAACACGCCTACTAATCACGGACGCACGTGGACAGCCCTGACAAAAAGTTCCTTATCACGAGCGTCCATGTTTACGAAATCACTGATGATAGCATTGCGTACGGCCGAGCATGCGTGCGAAAATGCCCGGTGCACTATAAATCTGTATCACACTCGCTTTGCCGGCAGCGGTTTGAAACTGTAAACAACTGATTTTTGGACTACGGATTTCAATTAGACATTTCTTAGTAACCAGCAGTGATATTGGACAAACTAATACGCGTTTGGATGTAAGGTTATGTACTTATTAACTACACAAGGTGCCAGTTACTCTAGCATTCGTCAACATTGCATAATCACTGGGCCTAGTATGCCTTTAAGCGAAAGTAGGTGGCAGTTGACCTGTAGATGGCAACACCATAGCATGATAGCATGTGACCTGCAATGCTGCTACTGAAACTGTCGACCGGTTGTTATATACCTTTTTGTGAATTGTTGTAGCGTAATGACATTGAAAAGTGTTTATTCAGTGAAATTGAGTAAATCACACTTGCGTAAGCACATAAATAAACATTTGGTTTCTGTAATCACACGAGGATATATTTACACTTTGAATTATAAATCATCTATGCAAATATTCTAAATACTGGGCATACTTAATTTGAATACATGACACAGTTATGCGTCTTCGCCCGCAGATAAGCATCGTGAGTATGGTCTACGCACAGTCGGAGATCCTGCAGAAGGAGGTTTATCTGTTCGAGAAGATTGAATCGGCGTCGCGCGAGTACATGAAGCATCTCAAGTGCATCTGCTTTCTGAGACCGACTAAAGATAACGTGGAGCAGCTCTCTCGCGAACTGAAGGATCCGAAATACGGCCTCTACTACATCTGTAAGCTGCCGCTCACACCCCACAGTGCATCGTCTCTTTCAAGCTGTGACGTCGTGCGTTGTAGGGGTTCATAGCCAATTCTCAACCGTGCACACGACTGACGTTCTCCTGTACACATGTTAGTACTTGTGTGTTATGTGATGTCATGGCGTTACATCGTGCTCAATTCAGTTTCTGAGAAGGATTGGCGTTGTTCGATTGCGTTTCTGTAATTGCATTTGCAGTAGCGTAGCATTTTGAGTAACGTATATCACAGCTGACTTTTAATCGTGTGCGATACGCATTTGCCCGTTTCGTTTTCAGATTTCAGCAATGTGATCAGCAAAGCAGATGTAAAGGTTCTGGCAGAAGCAGACGAACAGGAGGTAGTGAGAGAAATGCAGGTGAGTGTAACTATGACGGCTATATAAAGCCTGCCCGCGTAGCCTCCATTGTGAGTGATGAAACATTGAAATGCAGATCTGATAACGTATGACACACAGCTCTGAAGGCACGTCGGTTATCCAGCGTGCGCTAAATGCCTAGAGGAACCCTGATGAAAAGAGCTACATGTGTGTGGGTTTTAAGAGAGCAGGTACGATGTTGTCATTCAGGATAGCGAGAAGAATTGCCACCTCAAGTTGCAGACGAGAACGGAAATTTTTCTGGAGGCCTTTATACATATGTTATACGGCTAGCGAGATGTGATTTTGTTTGCAAACCAACTGGTCATTTTCTGTTTTGTTAACAGGAGTTCTACGCCGACTTTCTGGCTGTTGGTCCACACGTGTTCACCTTCAACATACGGACGTGTTATCAGGTATCGAGAACATCAGCTTCCGCGCGTCAACGTCATACTCTGGGGGATTTTAAACATTACCTAAAGTTAACTACCTGTTTTCAGATTGTGAATTTTAATCTCCGTTTGGACTGTGAATGGGTCTGATAGTCAGACCCAGATCTTGCCAAGATAAAACCCTGTATAAGTCACTATTTCTCTGCACAAAAAAACATGACTGTATCGGACTTGATTCCTGGGCACATAAAACCCTGCATAAGATAGTCGCTATTCTTCTATACAAAAAACATGGCTGTATCGGACATGATTCTTGCCCACACAAAACCCTGCATAAGTTAGTCACCATTTCTCTAAACGACAAAACACGGCAGGCACAGACCGTCTGGGAGACACATACCTTCACCTCGCTCGTGTAGTGGGGTTGGATCAAGGATAGTTTGGGACCCCTGCAATGTGTTTTAATCTGGTGTTCTAAACTAGGCTTGGGCCACGGGGTTGCCCCCCCAAGATGCATGAACCGGCCTGTTGACGACAGACTCGTCGATCTTAACCCTAACCCTCATCGTAACCCCAACCCTAACCCTAATGCTAGCGCTACCGATGGTGAGTGTGACACCCCTGTGTGTGATGATGCTTGCAGGGCTTCACGTGGGAGCCGTCGGCGCTGAGCAGGATCGTGTGCGGAGTGTCGGGGATGCTGCTCGCCGTGAAGAAGTGTCCGATGATCCGCTACCAGAACTCGTCCGAGATGGCGAAGAGACTCGCCGAAAACATAAGGGTGAGCAGTCTGTGACCGCAAGACGGGTTGAGAGATAAATGGGGGAGGGGGGATATTGTGTTCCGGGAGTTAAACTAATATAATAAGGCTTGAAGAAAATATGAGGGTGCTACTGTGAGATGGAGTCTAACAACTAAATGTAAGTACGTGAGGGTAAAACTAATTGAAGGATGTAATTAGGCTTGCGGAATGCACAAGGGTGTGGACATGGTTTTTAGCTCGCCTTGACATCGTCAAGATGAGCTATTGCCATGGGGTGTCGTCCGTCGTACGTCCGTCCGTTCGTCTGTCAACATTTGGCTACGGTCAACGATAACTCAAGAACCGTTTGACCCACATGTTTCAAATTGCATACAGTTGTTACTCCTATGGGAGAGATTTGAACGTTATATTTTGGAGCACGCCCAGTCGACCTACTTTCGAGCCACGCCCACTTTTTGGCAAAAATGAAAATGGTCATCTAGATTCATTCGATTTTATTAAATTTTGGTATATGAATGTGTAAGGCTAGCCCCAAAACGGTTGTTACTCCTATGGAAGAGATGACAACGTCCTATTATGTTTATTTCGTCTAACTGGTCAACAACTCCATAATCATACCTATATTTATACGTGTAATATTGTGTTTTAGATTCTTCGTTACAGTAATTTGACTGGAATATTTTATTGTTTTTATTTGCGCGATATTCGAAAACCAACATGGTGATCATTTAGGCGTAGCGCCATCTCAGATTCTCTCGTCAAGATTTCAGACTTTCAGATCTGAAACATTTATTTTTGCATCAAAACTTATGCATATATATCATTATCAAGAGTATATAATGGGAGATATGCTATACAATGGGAGTTCTCCCAGATATACTCTTGCTTTATATATCCCCCTTCCCTCTTCTGTCACACCCAAGGTGAGCTACAGTACTAGTGTCATTGACACTTTCATTTGGGTGAGAAGAGAGCATGTATGTGTGGTGTTGTATTGTATGGGTATGCATGGTATGAGTGTATATGTAATGCTAGTGTAGTGTTACACCTACAAAATACATCGGAGAAGTCTAACCGGGTTATGCCAATATGCCATTCCTTCTACTGTTACGATGTAATACACTGTGGCATGTTGACTGTGTTTGAAACCGCAGTCGTTCCTTTAATACTCTGGTGAAAGAGAGTCGATCTCGCTCCTCATGTTTCATTCATGTTCTGCAGCAAATGATAAACAGAGAAGCGGCGCTGTTTGACTTTCGAAGGACAGATGTTCCGCCGATCCTGCTGATCGTTGATCGCCGTGACGACCCCATCACGCCTCTGCTCAATCAGGTATGTTCCTTGCTGGTTGCCACGGCGATCCCATCATGCCGCTGCCCAATCAGGTACGTTCAACAATGGTTTCCGCGATGATATTATCCTGCTGGTGTTCAGCCTCATACGCTTGTTGTTGGTTGTTATGGCAACTGCCATCCTCCATTGTTCAACCAGTGATGTTGCTCATTTGCTGCCATTGCAACCCTCTCGTGTTGTCCTCCATCTTCCGCGTTCTTTAGTGGGTTAATCAGCATGGGTATGTAACACACGAGCTCGCTCTACTGTGTGTGTGTGTGTCCGTGCACGTGTGTGTGAGTGTATGTGTGTGTGTGTGTGTGTGACTGTCGGTGTAAGTGCGCATGTGCGTGCGTGTGTGTGATCGAGTGCGTGCGTGCGTGTGTGAGTGCATGCATGTGTTCGTGCGTGTGCGTTCGAGTGCGTGCGTGCGTGTGTCCGTGTGTGTGTGATCGAGTGCGTGTGTGCGTGGGTTCATACGCGTGTGAGAAAAACCGGTCGAGCGTCGCCCCGACAGCATAAGAAACGCGCCTCGCGCTCGCGCGTCAGTCGCGTGGCCGCGTGCTTCTACCGCGGCGAAGAATGACGCACGCATGCTCGTGTGTTTTCTCCGCGCTGCACAGTGGACCTACCAGGCGATGGTGCACGAGCTGCTCGGCATCACTCACAGTGTGTGCGTGTGTGCGTGTTTTACTTGTATTTTTCTTTTCTCTGCGCGCTGCACAGTGGACCTACCAGGCGATGGTGCACGAGATGCTCGGCATCAAGAAGAACCTCGTGAACCTCGCCGGCGTGCCGGGAGTCGACCGCGACCTTCACGAGGTCGTGCTGTCGTCAGAACACGACGAGTTCTACGCGAACGTACGTACTGAAGGATCGTGAACGATGCAGGGAGGAACGCATGGCGAGAAGCAATTTTGTTTAAAAAAAATAAATTAGAATGCGTTTTGTTGATGCCAGAAATGCCGGGTCTAGGGTCGGTAACTTTCGAGCAGGACTGGTGAATTTTTTATGGATTTCACTTTGGATTATATAATAAAAATGTTTGAAATCAGGATTAGCTAGATTTTCAGGCTTATTTCCTGTGTTATTCTGTGTTACTCTACTACTGCATTGTATGGTTTTTTGCTGATACTGTCAGCTTGTGAATATTGAATATATTATATATATATGACCTATATCAATTGCTGACAGTCGGTTTGTGGGTTTTGTTAGTTGGTTTCATTGAGGAGTGGAGTATTGCAATGTAACAATGTGCAGTTGTGGAATGGCCTGCAGATCCACAACAGCACATTGTTAGTAGTATAGGCTTGTTAGTACCGGAGCTTTAGCACGGATTGTTGTTTGGCTTCCAGAATTTATACAAGAACTTCGGGGAAATAGGGACGAACATCAAGGAACTGATGGAAGAATTTACGAGAAAATCTCAAAGCCAACAAAAAGTAGAATCTATTGTAGAAATGAAGGTACGTCGTCAGCGGATATATTCGAATAGCTTACGCGTAACTGTAGCGACGAAAGAACGCAAGAACGATGAAAATGATATCGTGTTTGACCGTTAGGTGTTCCGAGTAGTCGCTAACTTTCATTCTAATTTTTAGCTCACCTTGACATCGTCAAGCTGAGCTATTGCCATGGGTCGTCGTCTGTCGTACGTCCGTCCGTCCGTCCGTCAACATTTGGCTACGGTCAACGATAACTCAGGAACCGTTTGACCCACATGTTTGAAATTGCGTATAGTTGTTACTGCTATGCTCCCATATTAAACGTCCTCTATTTTGGAAATGGGAATTGCCATTAGTCAGTTCAGGTTCAACGGATTTTTCACTTTTTTGATATGTGAATGAATAAGGGCTAGGGGTTTTGATATTTAAAAAAAAATTATGCAAATTAGGTAGGGTTTGGCAATTATATAGCATATTATATAGACACGCAGATAACAAACAGTCTGTGGTGTCACACTCGTCTGGTTCGTTTTACAAGATTTCATTGACAATATCTTTAATGCAAAATTCCTGCTATGAACATATTATGATTTATACTATTATTATTATGATATAATGATTTATGCTAAGAAACATCAAAGCGGGTATAGCGCCATCTACCGTCACAAATTGTGATTCATTTTGGTTTATAAATTATTTATAATTTATATATAATATTATTTATTATTTTCACATGAAAAATTACACATAATTATCAAGAGTATATAATGGGAGTTCTCCCATATATACTCTTCGTTTCTATAATGTACGTCGATGGTTGCTCAATTAAAACTGACTTCTTCTCACTCACTCATTTGTGTCCTTTTTTGTGGTGATCTACAGTGTCATTGACACTTTCATTCATACTTGCAGGCATTTATAGAGAACTATCCTCAGTTTAAGAAGATGTCAGGAACGGTATCGAAGCACGTGACCGTGGTAGGGGAACTGTCTCGGCTGGTGGGAGCGCACAATCTCATGGAGGTGTCGGAGGCAGAGCAGGAGTTGGCGTGCCAGAACGATCACTCCCAGTCACTTCAGGTTTGCCACCCCTCTGTCAATAAACTGGTCAAATATGTTAAATAAGCTCACCTAACCTACAATCATATATAGTCTCGAGCGCCATGTATAACACTTAAGGAGCTCGATACAATATAATCATGAGTAGATAGCTACAAACGATATAAAATAGCGATTACTTGGTTGTAAAAAGCCGTAAAGAACTTGTTGTCACAGGGGTAAGAGTTCAATGCTAGCGACCATCCCCCGCGGTAACGTGGCGAGCCGCCGGATACCCATGAGAAACCAGTCGCTTGAAATTCAATTTGCATTTGGTGTGTTTTCCTCCCCCGGCAATGTGAAGCTCAGGGACTGAGCATTTTCAATCCCCCACTCCCGTTTAAAAAAATCAAAAAGCTGTTTGGCAGCGAAAGAAAAGCCGAGCGACTTGCATCTTCGCCGCATTATTTTTTCTTCTCTTCTCCGTTTTAGACAATCACGAAGCTGTTTGGGCAATGTAACGAAAAACCGACTTGCATTTTTTGCCTTCTGAATATTCCCCCCCCCCGCTCGTTTTAGAAAATTAAGAAGCTGTTTGGCAGCGAGAGACTGAGCGACCTTGACGCGGTACGGCTCGTCATGCTCTACGCGCTGCGCTACGAGCGCCATAGCAACAACGACATCGTCGGCCTCGAAGAGATGCTTCGCAAGAAGGGCACGCCCGAGAAGCTGACAAAGGTAACGAGGGCAGGGTGGGGTAGCTAACGAAGGTAACGAGCGCGGGGTGGGCCAGCGTTCCTCCTCTGCGGGCAACGGTGGTCTAACTAATGAACGAATGTACCGACTGAGCGCGCCGACAGGGGGGTTGATAGCTGCAGCATCCCCCTCTGCGTGCGACGATAGTCTAATGAATGAACGAAGGTAACGAGCGCGCGAGCATGTAGGCAATGCGGGGGCCGTGAGCCGCAGCATTCCCCCTGTGCGAGATGACAGTAGAACGAACGAACATTTGCCACATGGTGAATGCCAAGCGAATGGTGTGAACACTGCACCGTGGCGAATGCGTGCAGGCAGCGTAGCAGATGCATATAGATAGTGCGCATGTTTGAGATGGGCGTGCGCACCCATAGTTTACATTACTTTGACGATTTGCATTGGTTTCGTTTCTATCGGCGTCGATGAACGTTTGAGATAAACACTGCACAGTTGATTGAAGAACTCGTTGCTCGAAGTCGTTATCGATGAGGAGTAGTGAAGTACAGATGTTTGGTTTTTCGTAGATGGTACGGGCGATCCAAGACTTTGCGGGCGACAGCATTAGGAAAGGTGAAATGTTCGAGAACGAAGATCCCATAGCTATCACTAAGAAATTCTTCAAAGGATTGCAAGTGAGTAAAAGTTGTTCTCATGTGTAAATTCATTTGACGTATGATGTGCAGTTTGCTATAATAAGTTAAATTATAAGTTGAATTTTAAGTTATTTAATTACAAGTTTTTTAAGCTATTTCTTGAGTAAGTTTCTTACGATTTTGCCTGAAAAAAATTAAGATATTGCTATAACATGGAAAATATGGAGCAGAGGATCGACCTGCCTCGGTGTTGTACATTAACTAACTAACATTGCATTGTAAATGAAGCTACATGCTAATTCTTGATAGTCTGTAAACGTGTCAGTTATTGTAGCTGAATTAAGCGGATTGCAAATGCTACATTGTACGATGTTTGTTATTAGGGAGTGGCTAACATCTATACACAACACAAACCTCTACTAGAGGCAACCCTAGACCAACTGATAAAGGGCAAGCTGAGGGAAGCACTCTACCCATATTTAGGCACAAATCAATTAAGGGAAAGGTAAGTCCTACATGTGGTTTCCTCCACTGAAAATGTCATTTACCCGTATCGACATGTCTACCTGCATCAATATGTTGTCTGGAACAAATATGTAAAATGTTACACATGTCTGTATATGTTGTTTTCAGTATGATGCAGCTGATCCAGTTCCTTTATTTTCGATCGATTTTTTTATTCCCAGACCTCAGGATATTATAGTGTTCATGATCGGTGGCGTCACCTATGAAGAAGCTCTATCCGTACACAACATGAACAAAAGCTGTCCCGGTGTTCGCATCGTCTTAGGGGGCAGCACTGTTCACAACACATCGAGGTAAGCCATGCAACCTATGCTTGAAATGTAAACGTAGCTCTTGAGGCTTCTTGTTGAAAACAAAATTAGTCTTTTCCAATTAGTCTTTTCCAGTTAGTCTTTTCCAATTAGTCTTAACATGAACTTTTTATTGTACACCAAACCTCTATGCACTGCATGTAAGAAACTTGTAACTTTACCATGTTTCTGTCGATAGTCTACAAGAAAATTTAATGCCAAGACTAATGTTAATACTAATTTTGTTTCTGACAACGGGACCAAGGTAGTTGGCAGTTCGTCGAGTAGCGAGACAATTAAGTGCGAGTAGACGTTGCAGCTACGTTTGTGCAGCGATGATATTAACCACAGCTCATGTTTCGCTCCTTCTAGTTTTCTGGACGAGGTATCGTCGGCGACACCTGGTGGCTATCGTTCCCGCTACCACGGCCCACGGACTCACCGGTCGTAATACGGCCGAGCGTCGTCGCTCCCTTTGTCTCGTCGATCAAACGCCAGTTACGTGTGCAGGTATCATTAAGATCGATTTAGTTTCTTCTCGTCGCTGCTAGATGGCAGTACTTGTTTCACACCCCGACTTTGTTTTGTACGTTGGTTGCTTTAATTTTAGAGCAGCAATGACACAAACAAATCAACTTGCATTGTTTGCATCATGAACATATACAAACCCACGTTGAGTTGTTCATGTTTCCATATAATAACACCTCCCCCAGAACTTTCCGTATTCGGTAGGTCAGTGCCGTCCGTAATCACGAGTACATTGACTGTTTTAATTCGTTTAATTCAGCGAATACAGTTGATGATTTCTTGCTTAGAACTGTATTCGTTTAGTACCTAATGCAAATTACTGAAATTGGTGATTTCGAAATGAGTGTATTCCATTAACGTGTTCAGTTATTTAAGATTTCTTACCCAAATAATAGCTGAATTTTGTACACAATACACACACATACGAAGATATGTATATGTAATAGCCATGTATATATACACATATAATAGTAATATATATATACACACAAGTATAAGTAATTATAGTAACAGTATAAGTAATAAATGTACTTTGGAAAACTTCTGAATTGTGACGTGTGTTGTGATGTGTAAGCCAGTAAGGTAAACTGACATGTTCTAACATTCCATCGATGCTAGCAGTAGAAATATGAAGCAAGTAGGGTACGTTGTGTGAAACCAAGTACTAACAAGTAAAGTTGCCTTTGTCATCTAATAAAGAAAGTTGGGCATTATATCTGGACACTCACTGTATGCCTGCCAATGTTTGATGGACGGTATAGATAAGTCATCTCTAGCATAAATGTGTCGGTGAGATTGTAAAGTGAAATTGTAATCGGCGTAGAAACGTTTGTGATGTTATTGAACTGTTTTCTCATCTTGTTGTTGCTGACACAAGATTCCATTCTTTGAGCTGCTTCACATATGGCATCTTTTTGAGTATATTTAAAAGTTGGTTGTAAATAAGTCTGATAATTGTGATTATTTTTGTGACGTGATAAATACATTGTAAATGGCATACATCTGAGTATCACTAGTCGCTGCAGATTATTGTACAGTAACCACTTATGGAAGTGATGTTTATTGAATAGATATCAAATTATTCCCCCAAACCATAAATTATTATCAGTATCATTTTAAAATGAGTAAACGAGCTTCGCTAGCTATCGTAATGTCTCTTACATTACCAAATTCATTCGAAATCAGTTAGAACTATACATATCAATCACCAAGTATTTATTCATATTCTAACATATTTTCTCTGCACCCGTTACCTTGTTGATTTGCATGATGCACAGCTGTCATGGTTTACTTTACACGTGCACTTTAAATGCAACTGACGTAGACATTCGATTTTAAATTAATGGAAATTTGGTCCGCATATAAAACTAAGTACCGGTAACACTCATAAATAGAGCTAAAATATCATACATATCAGGAGTTCATCCTAGGAAGGATGAGGGTAGATGCTCCTAATCATATATATATAATATATATATCCTTAACATATCTATACTCTATAAAGGAAAACAACATATAAACAAACAATCATTGTGCCCATATGAGTAAACGTCGGTGGTTTCACAATCGGCGGATAGATGGCGCCGCCTCACAATTTACACGTGACCAGCTCCGGCAGGCTGCGGACAGTACGTAACCTCTCCTGCGACGCTGGTGCTACGCCACCTTCCACGCGCTCATCGGTAGGTTCTGTAGCTTTCGGACGGTTCCTCCCCTTAGCAGCAGCCAGGCGAATCCCAGCAGAACGCAGACGAGCGACTCCACGTAATAGCCGTCGACGCTCGTAGTACACGTGCCGCCCCCTGCCGCGCATTCCTAAGGCAAAGTGAGAAACGACGATCCGTTACTTTCGTTGTCGGAAGTTTGAAACGCCGGGGGAAGCGAGGCCCGTAATTCGGTTAGTCTGAATGACTTTCATTGGCCAGACTGACTGGCTATATTATCTCTTCGCGATGTGCAGATATATCAAGGTCACCTTCAAGTGTGACCTTCCATCGATAGAGTCCATGGTAGTAAATGAAAGACCCCCATAAATAGTTGACGTATTTCCGATACTTCTAAGCGACTCCCCACCTCACCGCAGGCTAACAGGTGATAGAATTTTTGACAGCCAGTAGAACGACGCGACTACCCACCTCACCGCAGGCCAACTTCGGGTCGGCACTGCAAGATTTCCACGTGAGTTCGTCGACGAACCACAGCGCGACCGTCACCGGCCAGTTTCCGCCGAGGTTGGACACGGTGTTGAGCAGCGTCATGTACGTGCCGCCGATGGCCGGGTCGCTGACCTTGGCGTGGAACGCCATGATGGCAACGAACATGATGTACAGAGCCACCTGTCGAGATAGAAAGAAAATTGTTCGTTTTATTCATTCATTTGTTCATTCATTCGTGCAAGCATTTATTTATTTGTGCAGTCATGCATGCATTCATGGATTCATTCATTAATTTATTCGTGTGTTAATTTATTCATTCATGCATGCAAGCATTCATTCAATTATATGTGCAGTCGTGAAGTCATTCATTCATTCATTCATTTCTGCATTCATTGCGATTCATGCATCATTCGAAGATTTGCACGAAGAGCAAACGTCGTTTTTCTGTTCAACCACAGTCATTTTTGACGTCTATGCGTATACGTTAAATAATGCGTACGTACGTTTACGTTAATAAATGATCACATGCACTTGCAGCCTTCTGTTCGGTCAGAAACTAGATGTGAGGACAGAATGACATGGGTGTGATGACACTGATGTGGGTGTAAATACCTGATGGAGACCGTAGGTTATGAGAATGATAGCGTAGTAATAGAGGGGAAACTCCCCATCAACTGCGTGCATCTGTTGTGTCCAGTACACCAGGACGGCAAATATCAGTCCCATCAGTAACCTACGCACAATCAAATATGTAAACGAATGCCTGTGAACTACATACCATCAAATAGAAAACAAATACCTGTGAGCTACATACCATCAAATAGAAAACAAATACCTGTGAGCTACATACCATCAAATAGAAAACAAATACCTGTGAGCTACGCACCATCAAATACGTAAACGAATACCTATAACCTACGCACAGTCAAATACGTAAATGAATATCAGTAACCTACGCACCCTCAAATAAGCCAAAAAAATTACCTGTAGCCTACGCACCATCAAACATGTAACCACATGACTGCGACACTCACCTCCACGGCATCGCTTTCAGCCAGAAGCTGAGCGGCTGCGACCTCGTCACGTACTTGCTGATGACGAAGGGCAGGATGATCTGCAGCGGCACGACGGGAACGCCAAGCAGAGCCAGCTTCTCCTTCGGCACGCCCGCCTCGATCAGCTTCAGCCCCGTGACGGCGTCCGCCGCTGCGAAGCCCACCTACGTGGAGCAGAGAGGAGGAAGCTGTAGATCATAGAGCATCCCCACAACTAGGAAGACATCCTGGGTATCAGGGAGGAAGCTGTAGATCACACAGCATCCATGACTAGGCAGCTATCCTGGGTATCAGGGAGGAAGCTGTAGATCACACAGCATCCATGACTAGGCAGCCGTCCTGGGTATCAGGGAGGAAGCTGTAGATCACACAG